GTTAACTCGATAGTAATTAACTAATTAACTCTAACAAATAAGTAATAAATAACTCGATAGTTCATGCTTCTCTTTTATCACCTTCGTGATAAAAGAGAAGCATGAACTCATGATGCACTATAATTGTTGATTCGGTAAATGTAATATGCATTCTGAGTGGACATTTTGCAGTTATGGAATAAAAACGAACTGAAAATAATTTGCATATCAATGTGTAATGGATTTTTTGCATATCTGATAATTTTTCTCCGCTCATCATCACTCATATCGATGTAATTCAAATAGAATATGCTTAACGAATTGGCCAAATGAATATGCACTTATGCAAATCATAACATTAACCAACCGGCTCACCTTAAATCAGGATAAAGAGGTGACGAGGTCATTTTGCGCCGTTGTGCTTGTCTGGGCAAGTCGTTTCTCCCAGTTGGTTCTTCCAGTCTTCTTAAGGCTGAATTTCTGATGTTTGGTGATATCGGAGGCAGTCAGAAGTCCAGGAAATGTTCTAATGCGACAACTTAATGATTTACTGAACTTTTATCGTTCGTCGACCTCCTTGCAATACCATGTATTAGAATAATTTGATCCAAGCAGTCGACTCATTCATTTGATATAGGAATTCACCAGTTGTCATTCAGCGGAAATAACAGTGCTTGAACTTCTCTATATTTCACGTACTTACAGGCGATAGATTAGTGTCTTCAACCTATCAAAGCTTCTCGATCGAGAAGATGTTCAAGCTCTTATCAGCAAACATCTCATCTCATCGATTGCTACGCTCTGCAAGCTTGGCATTATGGCTAACCAAACCTGCAAGTTCAGTTGCCAGTAATGTTTTTATGAGGTAATGTTCACATCTTTCATCAAAGACCACTTGATGTTCGCGATGTAACCTTGCATTCAGACCTTATGCGACAGGGAGTCTGAAATTATTATATTGGTTGAGCGATGCTGATAGTGTTACAGGCGATACACTTGCAGCAGTGCTCTGCTGGAAAGTTACAATGCTGGTAAATCTGTGAATGAAATACTGAGGAATGCACGATATTGTTCGTTGCAGAAGCTCAGTGTTCGCTTCTATAGTCCAGGCAAATTTGTCATTAATCTTATTCCTCAAATGACCTTTCTGTTCCCTAGGAATGAATCATGTACCGTCCAAAGGAGCGTTACAAATATGGCGATCAGTTGTCGGAGTATAAAAACTTTTTAGCTGGATTTCTTAGAATTGGATGTTCAAGCAGTTTGGAAATGTGAGCGAAAAAATGAGACGTCCTGAAATTCAGTCGGTAATTGTAGATGAAGTCAGTTTGGCAGAGTTGTTTGCAAGTTGAGACAGGCAGAAATTTTAGTTCCCAGTTGATCTCTAAATCAACTTTGCTCGTTTTCAGATCTGCCTCAACACACTCCAATACCAATGCCAGCAATGTCACCAACCATGAAACAAGGTAATATTGTTTCGTGGAAAAAGAAAGAGGGTGACAAGTTAACAGAAGGTGATCTGATGTGTGAAATTGAGACCGATAAGGCGGTTATGGGATTCGAGGCACCCGAAGATGGATATTTGGCAAAAATCATTTTGGGTGAAGGGACGAAAGATGCTCCGGTTGGGAAGGTTCGTTGATGAATAATTTTTCTCCAGTAAAATTTCTTGCATTCCTCACAAAAATAGTGTGACATGATCGATTGCGTTATCAGGAAATTTTGCTATTTGGAAGGAATTTCCCTTTAATTTTCAACTGATTGAGATCCGATTTTGCTGGTCAACTATTACCTCAATCTTAACAACTATTACCTCAGTGGTCAACTATTATCTCAGTGGACTATTAAGTGATTCTCCTTAATCTGTTTAACATTTGTATCATCTCAGCTTCTGTGTATTATCGTACCCGAACAATCCGACATAGCCGCATTTGCTAATTTCACGCCAACAGGAAGTGATGCCGCAATGCCATCTTCCACTACTCCAGTAGCTTCGTCACAGCCCCAATCTGCAGCTCCACCACCTTCACCTCCTCAAACAGCTCCGATTCAACCTGTCGTATCAGCGCCACCTTCAGCACCTCAAGGACACATCGGAATAACACCATACGCTAAAAAGCTGGCGCAAGAGCGAGGAATAAATCTCCAGGTCATTTACTCTTCCAAAAATATGTCTCAGGAATGCACACTTCTTTTGTCTCAAGTATTGCAGCAATACTACTCGATGACTTTTTACCCATAGCCAACGTCATTCACAATTCTAATTTCGTCGGTTTTCGTTCTGATATCACTGCTGAATGTAACCGAAGTTTTGTCTCCGTCTATCTCTGATACACTCAGCAAGCAATGAGAAAACAGTCGTAATGTTTTGAAGGATGTGAAAGGTTCTGGTCCAGGTGGACGAATTTTGGGATCCGATTTAAGCACAGTTGGTGGCAGTTCTGTACGGAGCGGTCCTGTTTTCTCAACACCCTATGCGAGAAAACTGGCTGCCGAAAAAGGTGTCAGTCTATCGGTGCGTTGCTATTCCACTGGTACCATTCTAAACTCAACGTTTCAAAAGTTTCCTTTGGTAAAAGTGTGAAACAAGATCAGCATTAGAGCAGTTAAGAAGGAGAAAGCATTGAGCTGATTGAATATTGACCAGTTATTTTGTTGATCAGTTGATCAATTTCCGATCAATTATTCTCCTGCTATTGTTTTGATCGGTTCAAGATCCTAGCAACGCGATTCATTCTCTCGAAGCTGTACCCCCTAAGAGGCATGAGATATGATTTATGTCGACCATAATTCATTCAGGTTTCACTTTTATTTAGGCAATCAAAGGATCGGGTCCATCGGGTCGAATTATAGCTGCTGATGTCCTCAGCGCTTCTTTGCAGGTGTCGTTGACATGCCATTATCGGCAGAAAGAATGGCTGCAGCTCAACGTGCAATCGACAGTAAACGCTCCATCCCAAACTACTATCTTTCATCGTTCATATGTCTCGATGAAACTATGAAGTTAGTTCTATTTTGATTTCTGTTCATTTTAGTTGCCAACCTTACGCTACTGCAAGATGACCTATTCCTTCAAATCTGAATTCAAAAAAGACCTTGCTAACGTTATCTTTTACACTCAGCTTCGAATTACACCCACATTACCATTCTACAATACTCATATCATCTCCTCACAATTCCATCTGTTATCTATGCAGCCTACTCAAATGCAAACGGATCCACTGCATGCTCCTTGTACCACGAACGTTGATCGATGAATTTAGTCTCATGAATTTACTCGGATTTCAGATTAAAAGACAAAATAAACAGTCTACTATCGTCAAGTAAATCCGATTCAGCAGAGATCACGCTGAATGAATTTATCCTGAAGGCATCTGCAGTGGCTTGCACTCGAATCAAGGAAGCGAACAGCTTCTTCATGGATACTTTCATAAGACAAAACAACAATGTCGATATCAGTGTGGCCGTTAAAACTGCATCGGGTGATCTCGTATATCCAGTAGTCTTCGATGCACATCTGAAGGTTATACAGTGATCGTTGTTAAGCCAATTCCATCCATATATTGAATGTTTTCGTTTCTGGATGCTTCCTCACCTCGACCTCTGTAATTCATTATGAATTGTATCAATAATTTCGGGGACATCACTATACGACATAACTGTGTGATGTGTCAGGGACTTACGACAATCAGACAGGAAATTGATGCCATGAAAGCAAAAGCAATGGAAGGATCGTTATCCGCGCAGGATACAGAGGTTACTATCATTTTGTTTATTATTGCGGAAATAACAGTTGAGGTGTTTGAGATAATTGGGAACTGAGGATGAATACATTCTGGCTTGATAACATTGCTAAGGAATTGATCAATATCCTCTTGTAATTATCATATGGTAATTTCTGATCAATTGATTTCAAATTTCAATGTGTCAATTTTCCCGGTTTTGTTCCTTCCTCATCGGACGGTATTATGTTGCTTTCAGGGCGGCACCTTTACGGTATCGAATATGGGTGACTGCTCAGGTGTTCAGAACTTTGCAGCGATCATATTCGCGCCCCAGGCATGTCATCTGGCAGTTGGACATCCAGAGAAGCGAGTTATTCCCAATGCTGATGGCGGGTGGGATATTGCGTTTGTAATCGAAGTGAATCACCTCATTCGGTTCAAATTTCTTTCAGATTACTGGTGACTGCTTGAAGAGAGATGTTTGAAATACTGCTAAAAAAAA